ACACACACACACACACACACACACACACACACACACACACACACACACACACATACACACACACACCAGTCTGAAGGTTCCCGGAGAAGCCTGAAAGCTGCTCTCACTTGTCTTGGTCTAAATACTAATTCCCTCCTGTGTCAGGTAATGTTACATAACTATCTTATCCAAGACACAGATTGCTGTCCTAGCCTCCTGTTCATTCAGGAGGGAGAAGGAAGACTCTGTAGCAAAGGAGAGACAGCATAGCAAAGGCAAAAGAGAAGGCATACTTCCAGGCAAAGCCAAGGAGAAAACTCCAAATTTCCTGACTCTTGCTGGCTTACCCTTCTCAGATTCCCCCACATGCTCTACAAATAAGCAGCAGTAACAGCAGCAACAGCAACAACAACTACACATACAATACACATACACACAGCCCAGGCCTGGATGACTTCACTGATAAGTTCTACCACATAGATAGTAATTAATACCAATTCTTCACAAACGCCCTCCAAAAATAAAGGAGAAAACATTTCCCAATTTATCCTATGATGTCAATATCACCCTGATAACAAAACCAAACAAAAAAGTCATGAGAAGGGCTGGGTTGTAGCTCAGTGGGAGAGTGCCTGCCTAGAACATGTGAGGCACTGGGTTTGATCCTCAGCACCTCATAAAAATAAATAAATAAAGGTATTGTGTTCACCTACAACTATTTAAAAATTATATATATAAAAAAAGAAGTCATAAGAAGGAGGTTGGAGTTGTGGCTCAGTGGTAGAGCTCTTGCCTGGCATGTTTAAAGTACTGGGTTCAATTCTCAGCACTGCAGAAAAATAAATAAAATAAAGGTCCATTGACAACTTAAAAAAAAAAAGTCACAAGGAAAACTAAAAAAATGGGGCTGGGGATGTGGCTCAAGCGGTAGCGAGCTGGCTTAGCATGCGTGCGGCCTAGGTTCGATCCTCAGCACCACATACAAACGAAGATGTTGTGTCCGCCAAGAACTAAGAAAAAAATAAATAAATGTTAAAACTCTCTCTCTCTCTCTGTCCCCCCCCCTCACTCTCTCTTTAAAAAAAAAAAAAAAAGAAAACTAAAAAAATAATTCATAGAGCCAAATCCTTTATTTATATAGAAACAAAAATCTTCAATAAAATACTAGCAAGCTGAACCTAAGAGTTATATTCAATGATTAGAAATGCTAGGTTGATTTAACATAAGAAAACCAATATGTATAAGTTCAGCAATTTGGGAGGCTAAGGCAGGAGGATCACAAGTTCAAGGTCAACCAGGACAACAAAGCAAGATCTTATCTTAAAATAAAAAATAAAAAGGGCTGAGGATGTAGCTCAGTGGTAGAGTACTCCCTATTCAATCTCCAGTAACACACACACACACACACACACACACACACACACACACACACACACACGAAAGAAAATCAGTGTAATATATCAATGAAATAAAGTTTTCTTTAAAAAAAAAAACCCACACATAATCATCTCAAAAGACACAGATAAAGCATTTGGTACAATCTAACACATTTTCATGATAAAAAAAAACAAAACAAAAAACACTCGAACTAGGACAGAGGTTGTGGCTCAGTGGTTTTAGAGTATAGCCTAGCATGTGTGAGGTGCTCATTTTGATCCTCAGCACCGCATAAAAATAAATAAATAAAATAAAAGTATAAAAAATTGAAAAAAAAAAAACAAAAACCACTCAAACTAGAAATAGACAGAACTTCCTCAAGCTGATAAAGGGCATCTACAAAACACCTGCAGCTAATAGCATGCTTCATGGTGATTACTTCCAAGATCAGGAACAAGCCAGAGATGTCCACTCTCATCACTTCCATTCAGATTGTATTAGAGGCTCTAGTTTGGACAAGTAAAAAAGAAAAAGAGAGAAAATGCATCCAGATTGGAAAAGAAGAATTACACTGCCTATTATACATAGATGACATATTTTTGTATATAGAAAACGTATCTGCTGGGCTGGGGTTGTGGCTCAGTGGTAGAATGCTCACCTAGTGCTCACTGAGGCCCTGGGTTCGACCCTCAGCACCACATAAAGATAAATAAATAAAGGTATTGTGTCCATCTACAGCTAAAAAATATTTTAAAAAAATACCTGTATTTCTATACATTAGCAATCTGAACACGAACAATCTGAAAATGAAATTAAAAGCAATTCTTTCACAGCACCAATAAAAAAGAACACAATATATAGAAATGAATTTAACAAAAGAAGTGAAAACTACAAAAGTGAAAACTACAAAACATTTTTGGAAGAAACTGGAAAAGACCTATATAAATGTCATGGATCAGAAGACTTAATGCTGTTAAGATGGCAGTATTTGAGATGGGGCTATAGCTCTGTGGTAGAGCGCTTGCCTTACATCTGTGAGGCACTGGGTTCAATCCTTAGCACCATATAAAAATAAATAAAGATAATGTGTCCATCTACAATTAAAAAATTATTAAAAAAAAGATGGCAGTATTTCCAAATTGAACTACAGATTCGACACAATCCCTATAAAGTCAGATGCATTTGTGGAAGAAATTCATAAACTGATTCTAAAATATACATGGAAATACAAGAGATCATAAATAAATAAATAAATAAATAAAATTAAAACAAATTTTTAAAAAATTTTTGAGATGGGGTCTTACCATGTTGGCTGGCTGGCCTTGAACTTCTAGACTCTTACTTTCGCCTTAATGGGATTATAGATGCATGCTACTACACGTGAGTGCCCAAAAATTCTTAAAAAAACAAAGTTGCTCTTCTCAATCTAATTATTATTGGCACACATGTGTGGAGTAGGAATCAAATCAGGAGCAGTATTTGACCACACAGCTACATCCCCAGCCTGATCTTTCCAATTTTAAAACTTGTTATAAAGCTGGAGTAATCACATCAGTGTGGTACTGGCTTAAGAATAGGCATTTGGTCAATGCAATAGAATTGAGAGTTCAGAATAAAACTTTGCATCTATGGCCATTAAATTTTTAACTTTAATTTTTTTATTTTTATGTGGTGCTGAGGAGAGAACTCAGTGCCTCACATGTGCTAGGCAAGCACTCCATCACTGAACTACAACCCCAGCCCCTACAGCCATTAATTTTTGACAAGGTTGTCAAAATAATTCAATGGAGGAAAAAATACTCATTTCAACAAATGGAGCTGGAACATCAGGATATCCACATGCAAGACTCAAATTGGATCCCTTCTTTCTACCATTAACAAAAACTGACTCAAAATGGATCACAGACTTAACTACAATAGCTAAAACTAAAACTAAAAATCAAAATAGTAGGGTTGGGATTGTGGCTCAGCGGTAGAGCGCTCACCTAGCATGCTCGGGGCCCTGAGTTCAATCCTCAGCACTGCATAAAAATAAATGAATGAAATAAAGGTATTGGGTCCAACTATAACTAAAATAAATAAATAAAAATAATAGTAGATCTTCTGATCTGGATTAGGTAATGGTTTCTTAGCTATAATACCAAAAGCACAGGCAATGAAGGACAGATAAATTGGACTTTATCAAAATTAAAACTTTTCACTGGGTAAGGTGGTTGCCTATAAATCTCAGCA